CTAGTACTACTACGTACCTAATCCGATTCATATTTGAAACTCGGCATTCGGCAAATATACATTAAAACTTAACAACATAAACATAATATAACATCACCCCTTTTTATTCCGGAAGGGGTAGGCAGAGGTGCACATTACGGCAATTAATGCCACTGTACAATGTAACACCCACTTTTCACTATTTATGTTATGAGTCCCATGTAATAGGGGGTGAGCTTATTGCCATATACCGGGCACATTTCCAGACTCCGTGCTACTACTGAGATTTTAAAAAACCCAGTAATACTTTGCCCGACCGGGAATCGAACCCGACACCCCTTGCCCGGCAGTCGCACTTGCAACCACTCGGCCAACGAGGCAGGAAAACTTAATTCTTTTCTTTTTTAAGAAATTCCAGTTAGATAACTTCTTGGCCCAAACAAACATAAAAAAAAATAATGAGCAAGCTAAATAAAACCGTTTCAGAAAATACTTTTCCCCTGTGTTGTGGGTGGGTTAATAGACATACAAATTAACTTACCGACACATGACATGAAACCCTGACCCCCGTGAACAAGAATTTGTGGATCATATAAAGAGTTTTTCCGTAAGGGAAACCCGCGACCCGTTGAACAAGCACAAGTTCGGTCGTGGATGGAGTACTGCTCACATCTTTGGGATAGGTCGGCTAAATGCCAGCTGGAAGCCCTTGTATCCATCGGGAGGCGTGCTTAGAGGCTCATCAATGACGATTCGCTTGTAAAGGCTCGGCTTCAAAGCCTTGAACACAGGCGTAAAGTCGCAAGCCCTTCGGTTTTTCTATCGGATACATTTCGGCATGTGTGCATGGGAATTGCACTATTACACCTTATTTCCCCTAGTCCGTGTCACCACCGTACTACCAGGCGAATGGCAGGGGGTCACTCATATATGGTGGACATTCCACCCAAACGCACGAAGCGTTTCTCGTCAAGCTTCCTTGTGCGAACCGCTAAGGAATGGAATTCCTTATCTGTGTTTCTCGCCAAATATAATTTGGGTGTCTTCAAGTCCCTTCAACCTGTTCACAGGTTGCTTATAGGTAGGCGTGCTTCAGCGTCGGCCACATCATCGCTTACCACTAGGCGAGATGGTGATGACATCGACCTATCAAGTATAAAAAAAACAGCATTCAGAACCCCAGCCGCGGCGCCAAGCGTGCAGTTAATTAAATACAAACCCGCTTTCAGTTTATACCATACAGCATACATATAAAACAATGTTTATTAACATCATTGTATGAAAATTGCTACGCGTCTTGTTTTAAAACTATCAGGTATTAGTACTGATTTGATCTAATCATTACTGATAGGACTAAAGCTAGATTTTAATCACTGACTAGACGTCCTAGGTCACATTGAAGCACATTTTTAAATTCTGGGGAATAGACATGACGAGTATAACGATACCTAGGCATTTCTTTGCTTTATCTATCTACGTGTATAGATCTGTAGACTATGCTTCTTCGATCAAATGATCGCAAGAGCAACTGTCGAACATTGCGGTTAGGGTTCGGTTAGATTTCTGTTCGGCTATTCTGTAAGATGTTATTTCGAAATCTCGAAGTAAACTCGATCGCGGTCCGCCATGTCAGAATAACCGCGACCAATGACGGGCGAGAATGAGATTGAGCTGACTTCGAGAATTCGAGTTGACAGCTTACAGAGTAGGTATTTATTCTGGGCCGGGAAAATTAAGTTACGATATTGATAATTTCGATAAGTTAATGTTTGATTAATGTAATTGGTGTCTACCGTGTTAATCAATAAACAAATAAATAAAAAAGTCTTATCTAACTAAATAAACGTAACTAAGGTAAGAAGCCTGGAATGGTCACAGTTAGGTAACATCGGGTCACACTCACCTCTACATTTTAGACAGACTTTTTTTTCCCCTACCCTCCCGCCTGGGTGAGGCGGAAGGGAGTGTCAGACTCTTACTGACTAAAAACCACCCCGTTCCTTTTCCTGCACGTCGAGCCGGAGCCCCGGTTACCCGTTAGGTTCTCCGCGATTTTGAATCGGATTTTAGACAGACTAAGACCTCGAATAGTCGATATATAGGTATTGTTCGACAGTCGCACATATGGTAAGCAGTCGATCAACGAGCGGTTTAGTTACTTCGTTTTTTTTATAGGACAGGTGAGAAAACGAGCAGACAGATCACCTGATGGTAAGTAATTGGCGCCGCCCTTCGACACCGGCGACACTAGAGGAGATACAAGTCCATTGCCCGTCGTTGGGGTTGGGTGATTGGTCCATAAATAGGCTTGTTTCCTAAATTTTATTTTAATGGCCGTCTGGTAGATTATTTTAAAACATTAGAAACATTAGAACGTATTTTTTCTTTTCTCACAAAATTAAATGCTTTCGACGATATATTGATTTGAAATGTCGTGTGACGTCACAGAGTGCTACAAAATGTAGCACGTTGTTACGTAACGACCTTCCACTCCTAAACTTAACTCCATTTTATTTTATTATATTGTAACTTTAGAAGAGAAAGTAAAAAAATACGTGTCTAATATTTTTACATTATCTAATTGACGGACTTATTAGATTTTTAATTTTGTTACCCTGGAAACTACCCAATTTTACCAAAAATGGATCTAGTGCTATTTGAACAATATCCTTCATACAATCGGGTAATGATACAAAATAATATAATTCCATAAAAGGAAATTGCAAACTGTAGATTGCCGTCTTTACGCTCTGGGAGTATCACTTTTATTGTAAAAGCAATAAGGTTCTATATCGTAGCTACGTTATTGAGGAAGAGTAGTACCAAAATCGTCATAGGTTTAGTTGGGTAGTGTGTAATTAATGTTCCTTAGTAACAACGCTTTGATACCTAATGTTACCACAAATACATGTCGTGGTTTCAATAATTTCTAAATAATGTAATTCCATAACATCACGCCTTTTATCCCCGAAGGGGTAGGCAGAGGTGCACATTATGCCACTGTACGATGTAACACCCACTTTTCACTATTTATGTTATGAGTCCCATGTCCTTGAGCCTATTGCCATATACCGGGCACAATTCCAGACTCCGTGCTACTACTAAGATTTTTTTAATAACCCAGTAATACTTTGCCCGACTCGAAAATCGAACCCGAAATTGCGACCACTCGGCCAACGAGGCAGTCTAATATGTAATTCCCTATTTGTAAAAATCCTGCTATCCATACCATTATAATTGGATCAATAAGTGTTCCTAGGGTTAGATAAAGTAGATTCTTGAAATCATCGTCCTTTCAAATCTCCAGTACATAGTAACAAGGTCATAAAGCCCAGAATGAAAGTGCGATCCATTAAGGACTGGAACTCCGGGCTCAGATCCTCATTCTGAAAACACAGTCATCTTACAAGCAAGACATCTGTATATACTTACAACTTAGGTGTCTTCAAGTCAGAAGATAATAGGTAACTTATTAGCAAGTGCTCTTTGGTTGGCTGCACTATCAGTACCGAGCGACATAGTCAAAAAAAGATAAAAACAATAATAAAGTCATACATCTTAAATCACATCTAAGGTAAGATAAAAACCGGAGGCCCAATTACCCTGCCCTTCCCCAATCTCCCCAATCCCTGAATCCCCAACGATCCTCAAACTCCTAATCCCCAAAAGGCCGGTAACGCACTTGTAACGCCTCTGGTGTTCCAGTTGTCCATGAGCGACGCCGATTGCTTACCATCAGGTGATCCGTGTGGTCGTTTACCGGTTTATGTAATAAAAAAAGTACATCCCTTATATTTGAATGAATTCAAATTGAAAGTTATATCTTTGGTTATACAAATCCAATATAACTAGTGACTAATATAGCAGGTACAGATATTTGAAAACCCCATTATCCCCAGTCGCTTGGCGGAAGCTTGTGATCAAACTCGTATTTCAGCGTCAAATGACGTCGTGTGACATCACAGAATACGGTTAATACAGAAAAGAACTTGATCCTAACACATTTTCCTGTTACGGTGATCAACGTCATAACATAATTTTACGTCAGATCTTTACTTAATTCCCTCAAGAGGACAAGTAGACCTATAATATATATGGGTAAATGAATCATTAACAACATCACCAGCAGATGTATCCTGCTGATCAAAGGGTCATCGTCCCATTATAGGCCCCTTAAACAGGGCTTGGATGTAATTCCCCATACTTGGCAGGCGAGGTGGCAGCCAATGAGATTCAGATACACCAGAAGCATGGTAGTGTGGTTACATGCGAATTAAGATGGATAAAAAATCACAACGAACAACTGTTGGGCAGAAAGCCCGCCAGGCGCGATCACCTCGCTTGGTCGGAGGATCCTCCTTGTCTTGGGGAACTTTACTCTTTGTTCCCTAAAGTAGCACCCTCTTAGGTTTCCTGCGATCCCTGCTTGCTATGTATGGGAATAATGGAAAGAAGGGGAGTGTGTTCAACACAGGTATTCCGGCTGACGACACTTTATTCAACGACAATGAGGCTATGAAATTATATCATGACTCAATAGTATGCCATGATGCATGAGTACCTAACATTCAAAATGAATATGAAATTACAATTCAGAGTGACGTAGGTATCGTTTGTTACTAGGTTTAGTATGGATTCCCTATAGAATAATAGGCGGTTATTGCAGGGGAAAATTATTCTTATCACTGAGTAATATAGGAGCTAATTGCTTCTACCATTTAGGTGGTATGCACTTACTTCCCTCTAAGTTACGTAGCTCGGTCCATAATTCCTTCAAGGTAGTGTGGTTTTTAGAAGACTATTTCCTTTTTCCATATTTCTTAGACCTTTTTTATTATTGGGACAAGCCCGCCACAACGTCCCAAAGCCACTGCAACTCCTGTAAACCAGGATCTACCGGAGGCCCAACTACCCCCTTCTACAACCTGCTCAATCCCTCAATCCTCGACATTCCTCCATTTCGTACTCCCCCAAAAGGCTGATGACGCACTTTTTTTTTTTTAAGGGGGGAAACTCATCGAATGACTGCTCCCGCCTGGGTGAGGCGGAAGGGAGTGTCAGACTCTTACTGACTAAAAACCACCCCGTTCCTTCTCCTGCACGTCGAGCCGGAGCCCCTGTTACCCGTTAGGTTCTCCGCGACTCCGAATCGGCATCGGCCCTATTGAGCCCCATCTGTGGTGATGACGCAATTGTAACGCCTCTGGTGTTCCAGGTGTCCATGGGCAACGCCAATAGCTTACCATCAGGTGACCGTCTGCTCGTTTATCCCATAATAAGAGTATCCTCTAAATTTTCAGCGTCCTAACGCCACGCCGGGGTTATGGAAACTCCAACTCTTATGTGGAAGACCTTTGTTTAACAGTAGATTACGATAATGGTGATGAACTAACTTTAGTTCCTGTCATTAATAAACCGAGAATTGTTCTGAAGAATACACCAATAGAAACGAATAGATGATGTGAATAAATATCAACTGTGAACTGAAACAATTCCCTTTAGAAATAGTCTAAGTAATATTTTGAGTAAGGATCAGAAACAATGAACGATTGTGCTTAGCTATTGGCGTGTTATAGTGCTACACAGTACCTAATAAATGTATGGCAATACTATTTAAAACATTATTGGATGTTTTTGAAGTTACAGTTACCGCTATTTTATAGATAGGCATAACGTTTGAGATTATTTTGAACAATATTACAGTGCCTTTAGCCAAACGCCAATTTAGCGCTTGTCTATAGAGGTAGAGAGAGTAGAAAACTAAATGTATGGGGATGACAACTGACAAGTGTCAAAATTTACGTCAATTCCACATAATTTAGTTTTCTATTCTACATGTAGACAAGCGCTAAATGGCATTTCGCTACAGCTGCTGGATACTAACCCCTCAATAAGAAGTGGGAGACAACACACTTCTTGCGGGTCTTATGGTAAATGGTTAGATGCTTGAGAAGCGGCCACCTTAACCACTCAGCCATTATGCAATGTTACTTTAATAATAACTGGTAGTTGTAACAGATAGTTTGCTCATTTAGCATTTGTTATTAGCAGTAGTAGCGAATACTAAATTGCTGACACATAATTCTATTTAGGCCTAATCAATGTATGTTTACCTTCAGTGACCTAGTTATAGTACCTGATTTACGCAATTACGCAACTTATAAGGTTATCTATAAATAAAATAACTACACGGTTGGGGTGGTGGCTGGGTAACCGGCTGTCGTGCAGCGTGGCGCGGGTTCGATTCCCGCACGGAACAACACTTTGTGTGACCCACAAATTGTCGTTTCGGGTGTGAGTGTCATGTGTATGTGAATTTGTATGTTTGTAAACGCACCCACGACACCGGAGAAAACCCTAGTGTGGTACAATGTTCTTTTTTTAAAGTTACTGTATTTTTGCATAACTTTTCCATCATTACCTAATAAAGGCAACCATATCATCTACTCGCCCAAAACACTGCCTTATTTGTCAAATAGCGCGTTTGCAAATTGATCTCAGGGTACAGAGCTGTTAATATTTACGGTATTATTTAAAAAAATCAAGAACAACAATGAGTAGGTCATAGAATAGTACCCAGGATGTATTGCATAGATAATAGGGTCAGTTCTATCCTATTATCTATATCTACGGTATTAAAAAACTAAAGTTTAACTTTTTAAATTTGGAATAGCGTCAAATTTTTGCGAAAGTTTTGTGAGCATTTCTTCCATCTTTAAATTTTTAGCTCAAGACAAGAACGCCCGTAGTTTACTACGAGTTGTTTGATTCATAGAGACTGGAATCCTAACGACTTACGCCATTTCCTATGCTTATTTATTCGGTATGATTCGATGATCGCTTTGATTAATTAAATGAGACTTATAACAAAACGCTACGTATCTCTACTATCGAACTTTGGTGAGACGATTTTATAAAACTGAAACAACCTAAATAAAACTGCGTTTCATTTCACCTAGTTATCTCTGAAATCTACGTACGCAAAAAAAATTATAGGACTCCTTAAGAATGTTACGAGCCAATTTGACAATTACTTTTTACATTCATTTTTTTTAAGGGGGTAAAATCATCGAATGACTGCTCGCGCCTGGGTGAGGCGGGAGAGAGTGTCAGACTAATACTGACTAAAAACCACCCCGTTCCATCCCCTGCGCTTCGAGCCGGAGCCCCGGTAACCCGTTAGGTTCTCCGGGACTCCGACCTTACCTTCGTTAAATATGAGTTAATCTATCGTATGCCATATGTCCACTCCTTATCACAAAAGGCTTGACAATGATAACGCCCTTGCTACCCATCTGGTGTTACACGGTGTCCATAGGCAATGCTGATTATTATCATTAGGTAATTTGTCTACTGATTTGCCAGGTTCATAAAGAAAACCGACCTTGTCGCTTATAAACCGTTTTCCTTTATTAAAAACACAGATGCAGTGCGATATCTCGATTGTATAATCTCAGGATCAAATCAAAGTATAGGTATACTAAGGAACAATGCAATTCATATTGTTACATTTAATGCACATTGTACTAATACTATAATATTTACTTATAAGACCTTTTAACAGTGTGATGGCATGGGGAGTTTGAGCGAGTGGCTTGTTTTAGTTGATGGGACAATATTTATTTTACATTTGATATAACACTAATTGTTTTATAGTGGTCGCAAGAATGATCAACTGCGATCTTCGGGTCGTGGATTAGGCAAAGGGTACCAGATAAGTGTAGCATTCTATGTCAATCATCATCATCATCAGCCTATAAGTGTCTACTGCTGATCAAAGGCCTCTTCACGCACGGATAAGGTTTGAGCATTAATCACCACTAATGGTAATATAGGTTGACTACTCTTTATCTTCTTCATCTTCTTCTTTGTCTTCATGCCCATGACACTTTGAGTTGTAGCAACGTTTCTATCTTCCATTATTCCCTATGAGTGACATGACAAACTTGTTTTCATTGTATCATAGGCTTGTTATGCAAAGAAACTGACACACATAAGTTTTAGTAATTAAATTTATAACTATGTTAAACAATAACAAAAACTATGAGGCGGCAATATCAGTATGCAACAAAGATCTCGTCATCGATTCATTTAACATTACTCAAAGAAGAAAATGTGGATTAATATAGCGGTTAACGGTAGAGTTGCCATATTTTTTGAGTCAAAAATTTAAGAACCACTGACGTTTTATACCTTGACTCTAAAAGGTAGTTAAAACAGGATGATACCAATTATAACGCATGATACAATACTTCAATGGGTTTAAATCGTCTTGCCATAGATCATCATCATCAACAGCCGGAAGACGTCCACTGCTGGACAAAGGCCTCCCCCTGAGCCCTCCACGTCGAACGACCGCCATAGATAGAAATATATTAATATTTTCAGGGTAGGCAAAAGTGTAGTTACCTTACAAGGCCAAACGAATGTTTTTAGATATTTTGATTTAAGTATTTATAATACTTTCATGTTGAGCAAAACATAGACATAAAATTAAACATGAGACAATAAATTCCGGATAAAAAGCAGATTAGCAAACGTAGCCTCATAATGGCAAAAATTAAAAGGATTTGCTACTCAATACTATCACAAAATCGATATTTTTTTCTTTAATTTTCTATTTCTCTTTATATTTTTGTTCTTGAAACTTGTCAAAAATTATTAGCTATGCAATAAAATTCTAATTAAACGATTAGTAGGTACGTTATCCAATAACTTTATAAATGAACGTGGTGAAATTAAAAATGCTACGATTGAAAGAGTTACGACTTTAATCGATCACCCGAACAATTACGGCAATCAATATTGAATGGTTATACTGACGAATAAATATGTAAGACTGTATAATTCGAATCAATATCTATGTTTTGATTCTAATCAATGGATTTATTATGACAACTGTCCTAATAATAATTTACATCATCTCTTCGCTATGTTATCATCTATTGTTTAAAACATTCGTACAGTTGGGCAGTGCAGGTTTAACCCTGCTAAAGAACATGCGTTTATTTGTCATGAAAAATCGTACATTAGGTTGTAACTACCCCTGAATGAATGAGACTGAAAATATACTAAAGCAACGCCAAGCAATTTTTGCTTGTATGCTGATGATGCAAAAGATACTTAGGTAAAATGAAAATAAATATTAATGTTACTTGCATAAATGAATATTCGTGAATAATTTTTATTCTAAGAGCATTTTTTTTTATATTTCGGAGCAACAGAGAAAAACCACATAAACCTGATAAATAAAAATTCTACTGTCGTATTACTTGCGTACATTATTACTTGTTTACAAAAATACCTAATAAGTAAGCGATCTACACTCTTCACATGAACACACCCCAGAAATATAACACGTACTTACTTATTTAAAATCCAATAACAACATGCTTAAGAACACGCGTTCATCAAACCCCATTATATGCAGATATTTTACGCTCTGAATACTGATACATCAATACATTATGCAGCTAATACATATGCGTTTAGTCTCTTGAATACTATTAAAAATACTAATTACGCGGAAGAGTTTTTGGCACATTATTCTTCACCCAGTTCCAACATAATTCTTTTCATAAAACTCACTTTTTCGGAACAAAACTAATAGGTTCATTGGTGAAAATTTTCATGCTCATATGTTCAGCGATGAAACAGCGAGGTCGACAAAAATTGCATCGGTAGAACAGTGATCAACCGTGAAGATGTATTAAAAATAATATACGTAAGTACCTATATGTGAGGCATGTGAGGTATTCAAATCAATTACATACCCTTTAGTCGCACAATGCTTAGTCGTTATTTAACTGGCATTAAACTGTATTCATAGATTTAACCTATTATATACGTATGTAGCTAAATAAATATAAATTTTTGGTACTAAATTAATTTTAAGAAAGTGTTCAATTTGGAGGAAAACTCGCGTGGTTAATGAAGCCCGTGTGTCATTGTTTGAGGGTTAATTCTCACGCCGATGACGCGTTAGGCCATTGAAAACGCAGTGCTGAAGATGTGGATGTGTAGTATATAAACCGCGGGCCGCCTGGCAGGAAGCATCGGAGTGTCCACTCAATTATCTTTAATTTTATATTTTAAAAAATAAAAGTGAATATGAGATCTGCTGTGTTAACATCGATTTTTGCCATTTTGGCGGTTAATGGTGAGTCAAAAATATAAAATTTTATTGTAAAAAGTGAAATATTTAAATTAAAAAGTCGATTAAATGATAAGGAAAATTTAATTAATATTTTTTCAATGTGAAAGAAAAAGTCTTAATTAAGAAAAAAGTAATTATTTTCTTACACATCTAGAGTAAATTAAGTGCTATATCGAATTGTTAAAATGATAAATAGTGGAGCTATAAAATAGCCACCACAATTTTTTGTGCCACAGAAAACCCTCATAAGAGTAAGTGGGCGTGGATTTAAACAAAAAAAATAAAAAATAATCTAGTACACGTTTAAAAAACATGAATTTAACAGTCTTTAATAATTGCCTTCCATTTATTGATAATTGAAGCATTGGAATCATAATTCAAAAATAATGGTAAAGTAGAGTGAGGCCGAATAATTATATGCTATCATAAACATAGTGCACGAAAACTTAATCAACAGTTTGGTAATGAAACATGCGAAAAACGCAGTATTTTCCTCTCGTGCTGCGGATCGCGCAAACATCCGATAGCGTACCAAACATCGTCTTATTCAATACAACAACGTGTATGTAAAAAAAAACATTTAATTATCTCTGTCACCCACCCTGTATTTTCAAATACGCCACATAGATAAAAAAAAACAAATTACGAACGTTAATCACCATTACAAAATGGTGATTAACAACTATTAAATAATTTAATTAGTGATTCCATTTTGTTCAAACTATTAATAGAAAATCATTAAGTACACTAAAAACTGTTTTCAAACGGTGATTAATAAAAAAGTAAGTAAACAATGATTCCGTTTGAGTCGGTATTAAAGAAATAAAGTAGGTATTTAATATGCAACATATTGCAGACTTTCCATACAGTTTCACTGTGTATATCTAATCGTGTATTATTTAATATGTGGATAATTCACAAAGCACAATAATATCAGAAAACGATACAAATATATTTTGATTACGCGTACAATTCGAGCGACAAATTATTGTAGATTTCCTCTGGAGCTTAAGATTGGTACATCATTATTGGGTTTCTAATGTAATAAGCGAAAAGTTGTGTTATATTAAGAATCAGAATCAATTTCATTTTTCACCCCATTTCGTTAAAATACGTCTCTTAGAGACAATCTGGGTTCAAATTAATCTTGATTTACTATAAAGAAATCCATTAGAGACTGACCCTATAAATTCTTTCTCTATAGGTACTAAATGACGTCAAATTAAAATAGTGTTGTTTTTAGTTTTAAATAATGTTTTCGTAATGCAAAATGTAACGATAACATTTTGAAGTATGCGTCTTGTTTACCGAGGTAAATAAAACAGTACATAATCGGGATTTGTAAACAATAACATCGCAATAGCTCACGCCGTAGTTGATACTGAATGAAATTTTTTGTTAGTAAACATTGGCTTTTGTGAGTGTACAAAAACTTTTTAAACAATTACAGCATCATTCAATTCGCGATATGGTCTTTTAGGGCCGAATTTAATAACCATTTATAATCTCTGGATCGTCCAAAATCGAAGATTGTGGGTTTCGGTCGTTACGATTCCCCATCCATAAGGAACGTAGGTTTGCTTTTTATTAACTGCAGTTTAGTTTAGTTTCGTATATCTCCACAGTCTAATACGGTACTACCTATTAGATAGATTAAGTAAAACAACTAATTCATTAATATAAAGATAGATTTGAAAGAAAAATACAATACAGACCGCGAACAGAATAAAGCAACCAAAATTAGCTAGTTCAATGTTATAACGCATTTTATACACGTGAAACTAAATTAGGTTTGTCCGATCTGGAATAGATAAGTAGCCAAACCCGTGGTATGGCATTTTAGCACGCAATGCAAATCTAAAAAGTAACAACGCGAAGGACGCTTATACTAATAAAACACGAAACTTAGAACATCGTGTGACAATTACCTAGATATTACATATTCATGTCTGCACGAAATAATTAATTTTGGACCTATATCTAGCCTAACAAATGGAGCCAAAAAACATTCGTATTAACTTAAGGATCTTTTAACTTCATCAGGCGGTCATCAACTTGATTCGTAACATCACTTACCTACTGCTCAATTATAGGCCTCCTGTACTTAATATAAAAGAGATTGGCTTACCTTCATGTTCAACAGGAAGTTTTGAGATCGCAGATTAGAACGTTTAGTCTTATCAGAGAGAGAGACGCTGTCCAACTTTATCAAATGCGTAGAAAGCCTCACCTCTAAAGCCAAGCGTGAAAAGGGTGCTTTTTATTCTGCCTGACGACAGTTACGGCAGTGGGTATTCAAAATTCTAACGCTAAATATAATTCAAGGCATCTGTAAATTCTATCATAATAATCGATCACTGAAAATTGCAACATCGTATGCAAATATAATTTGCAAGCTTGACCTCAATTGTTGTTATACAATCTCCACAGAGGTCGATAGTATTTGACAAATAAATTTTCTATTAAATGCATCGTGCGTAAACTAAATGATAAATAACATGCAATGTTATGGATTAACAAAGGAATTTGGCCCACTAGTCACGAATTTATCTAACAGATAAATTCTTCATGTGACAAGGAATGTTAATTTGTAAACTTGACAGCACCTTATTCTTGAATGTCATTAAAAAGGTACGACAAACAAGTATTAGCAAAGTATTAGGTACGTGTTTGAAGAAGTCCTTAATTTTTTTTATGGGATAAGCCGGTAAACGACCAAAAGGAAGATCACCTGATGGTACGCAATCGGCGTAGTCCATGGACACCAGAGGCGTTAGAAGTGCGTTACCGACCTTTTGGGGATAAGGAGTTTGAGGATTGTTGGGGATTCAGAGATTGGGGAGATTGAATGATTAATGGTAATCGTAGACTATGGACCTCCTCTAGATAAAATATTTTTGCTATAATTTCCAATCTTGGCAGGCGATTCAGTACCTACCTATATCAGAAAGCGCTGCTGGTCGGTCTAACAGGCCTTACAGCCCTGATAAATATATTCAACTCTGTCGTCAGCCCAGGGCTTAATTTTATGATATTAGAAATAAATAGAGCAATAAAAATTTAATTTTAGAACTACGAGGGTATCAATGTATGAAGATTTTTCTATTTTAAGGTACCACACCAACGCCAGGAAAGGGTAATTTGATTGACAATTTTACGTGCATCGTATTTTCACACATTATCCTTTCGCATTTGAGCAATGAGATTTTTCGATATTAGGCACTTTTTTATATTGCTTTACTGCTTTTTATCCTATTATCTAATGATACAATATATTAGGTACAAAACTATATTTTTCTATAACCTAGATAATGACCTAATATCTCATGCTAATTTTATACAAGCACGCCTGTCACTTTTATTACATGCTATATACACTTTTATTTTTAATTTGCAATACGATATTGCTGAACCAATACATGCCTTGCACAGACAAGTATTATCAATTTCAATGTATAAAAAAACTGGTCTAATCCTAGGATATTTAAATAAACAGTTTGATTGACAGTCGCATAAATCTAGGTATGCATAACTAAATCGCAAGTTGATTACTAAATAAATGAAAAACTTCCGCGGCTGACACGGATTCGCCTGTATTGGGTTCCGTTTATCGGAAATAGCTGTGGATCACACATTTTCTTCTCATATGTTAGCATGGTTTTTGCGGTCGATAATTTTATTGGGTCATCATGAATAGGTGGTGTAAAATGAGTAGTTACATACCTACCAATTAAATAATTATAAAGAGATACAGACAAGAAGAATTATAATTTGCATATTACATTAGAAATAGACTGCACGGTTGTTGCAGTGGCTGGGTAGCCGAAATGTCGGGATATTATTTATTTGGTCAAAAATCAGTGTTTTTTTTCGCCCAGTACGGCGCCACGTTAAAAAAACGTTTACTATATTCCTTACGTTACGCAAAGACCCCTAAAAATTAGCATTCCCACATAGTTAATGTGTTACTTGTTTAGCATAATTCGACATTCTTGTTGTACAAAAAATTTATGATTGTCACAACCGAAAAGGATACTCCGGCTTCGCATATAGAATAATGAGTAACTCGTATTTGGAGTTTAAAATTTATTGACGACTTTTTCATTTATAATTCGGCAATTTGTAATCTCATTGCGTTTGATTTTATAGCCTCTAACGACCAATGTATGTTTGGGTTAAATGACCAATTGTCAGAGCGTTGAAATAAAAAATGGTTAATTACTTTGATATTTTCTTAACGTCACTTAGAAAGCTGTTAGAAAGGACTTAAACGTACAGAAACATAATCTTTCTTGCGTTTTTTTAAACATTGCCCACACCAGGTATTGCTCCTGTGTCGTGGGTGCGTTTACAACTGAAATCAGCGACACGTTGCGCTTTGCGCAGGAGTCGGTTGCTTGCCCAACCACTGCACCATCTGTGCAGGAAGTATTGTTATCGCGAAAAAAAAACAAAACAGTAAAAACAAACGCGTTATTGTTATCGTAGTAAACTGATCGGATCATTTATTATGAATGAATAATTTATTGATATTGTTTATAACAATGTGCAGTGGGTAACAATGTTGTATTACCAAAACATCCTACGAGATAATCCGATGATTATTGTTATTATTATATTATCACCAAATGTTTTGAAAACAAGTCAGTTGTATGGAAATATCACGGTGCGGAGTGCGAACAATTGCTGTGGGTTGTTGAATTTTAAATAAACATGATTTATTTTCAAACTCATCATCAACATCCTGTGGGAGTCCACGGCTGGAGTTGAGGCCTCCTCTATGAAGGAAGAGGTTTTACACAATCTCTTACGTTTGGCACGCGGATTGGATATTTTAGCGAACTTAGAATAACTTGATTTGGATTAAGGAAAAAGGTGACGCCCTTTTTATTCTTAAGACAGCAATTTCCTTTTATTTCACACCTGCTATTAATTTTCCTAGTCAAGTGTTTCTAGAATTTAAGCTAATGTAAGCTGCACTTCATGCGCACGCTTTAATGAATTGAAGATTGTAAGGGTAACTGTTCACGTTGTCATTTGACAAATGCATGAATAACAAACTTTACAAACAATATGCGGCCTACAAGTGACAAATGCATCTGGCTGTGTCCACGGAGAAGGAACGTCGCGTCTGTCACTCTTTATACAAATCTAACTAGCCATTTGATTTGTAGGTTGCATGCATTCGTCACACGACGCGTAGTGGACAGTGGGGCTTAGATTTAGATATTTTTCTTAAGAAATTGCCAACAGATTGTCAGCTAAATTGACAACAAGGCCCAGCATACGGAGGCAAACCAAGTAAAAACATTGAAATGAGTTGAAAAAGACGTACGAAAACTCTCGAAATTCCGAGGGATGTTCACCTAGTGGTGCTCACGAAATTGATAAAAAATTAATAAACCCTAGGTTACCTCATGGTATTCAGTGCTTAAATCAAAATCACTGGCATGAGTCAATGAAGGACATCCAAAAATCCCCAGGAATTTTATCTGATAGTAACTGCCTACCGAATTACTGGGACAAAATGTAATTAATAATTTGTTTCTCTTCCAGTTTCTCTAGTCTTTGGTTGGGGTTACAGAGCCTCTGATCAGAGGCGCTGGGCCGTCCTCCACCCGGCTTGTGGAGGTCGGCAACAGTCCCCCATCGCCATAGCTGCTCGTCAAGCTATCCCCATCTCCATACCTGCTATGGAATTGATCGGCTACCAAAACCCATTGCCTGGTCCTCTTACGATCACCAACAATGGACATTCAGGTGAGGAAACAGGAGGAACTTAAAGTCAGTTGATGTAAGACCAATTTTCGTATAACAAATTAAAGCTCAAAATCTTCATATAGCTTTAAAGCATTTATGAAAAGTGCAGCGCTCTCAAAATGTATATTTAGTTATGGCTAAGAGTCTTGGAAGGCATAATTTTAAAGTGTTTACTCATTGTACCTAAACTAACACTAACTACCGATTCGAAAACCTTGACACTTGAATAATTCCTGATCAATTTTCAGTTGCCCTCACCATTCCCAAGTACAGTTCTGAAGAAGAAAAGAAAGGATTCCGTCTTCCCTTCATCTTCGGAGGCCCCTTGGACAATGAGTATGAGATTGAAGGCCTACACTTCCACTGGGGAGACAAGAACAACCGAGGTTCTGAACATACTCTCAATGATATGCGATTACCTTTGGAAATGCATATCATTCACAGGAATAAGAAGTACAGGAACCTTGCTGAAGCCCTGCAGCACCCTGATGGTCTTTGCGTGCTTGCATTCTTCTACCAAGTACGTAGTATTTCATTTTTTCAGTATTAGCCTTTCCCGTTTACAGCTGGTCTCTCCTGTCGTCAGTGATCTTGGAACTTTAGTTCTTTAAATCATGGAAGGTCCAGTTGCCTAGAGTAGCCTATTTGAGCCTAATAATAGTAGACTCGCTATTCGGTTTTTTCCAGTTCCACCATACGCACAGTTGAACTGTTCAAGCTTCGAAGGACAATTTTCACCACTCATTATCTGTTGCAGGTTGTAGAATTCGATGCCAAGCTCCTGACTCCCATCGTCAAGAATCTGTCAGCTATTGAGAACTATAACACCTCCATGCAACTGCCACATACCTTCTCCCTGTCCTCCATCCTATCAGGATTGGATACTGAGCGTTTCTACACTTACAAGGGATCTCTGACCACGCCCCCTTGCGCCGAAGCCGTCACATGGGTCGTCTTCTCAGACTACCTTCCAATCTCCGTGTTCCAGGTACCTAATTTTTTGTATTTTATGTATGCATGAATACAGTATTTGGTAAAAGTAATTCTGATAATTATCAAATAATTAACAGAGTTAAAATGGCCATTTTGGAATCTTGTTCTTTCTCAGTAATTTTGGGTAAGGATTACTGACCATGTTGCAATTATCTTTAAGATGAAGATGGATGATCTAAATGTCTCTGTCCTCCACAGATGGACAACTTCCGCGGTCTCCTGTCTAACCTGAACTTGCCTCTCGTGGACAACTTTAGACAGTTACAACCGTTATTTGGCCGGCGTATATTTGTTCGTATAACATCGAAGAATCCCAAATTTAAGAAGACTAAACTCCACTACTCCAAGTGGGACTGGGTCGGCCACAAGAAGGCCGAGAATGACGTTGCTGAGTTCGACGAATAAACCACCAAAGATTAACGACCTGTCACAAATCTAACAACTAATAACCAATCACCCAAACTTTCATTACGGGTATATAGCTCATTTTTTGATACCAAATAAGCAACCAATTTGTTACCATTTTGTTTTTTTATAACTATATTATGGTTGTGTGCACTGTATTATATTGTATATTTGTGTGAATAGAGTATTATAGTGTAAGTTTGTTAATAATCTTTGAAAATAAAAATATAAATCTATGTTTTTAGTTTTATTACAAAATAGAGGTACATAAATAAATAGGGGGCCAATAATAACAATATAATACAGAATAATTTTCAGTAATTAATTTGAGAAGTTATCGGCTCCAAACATTGACTGTAAAATAAAAATAAATGCATTAATATTTCATACTCTACGAAATATAACTTTATAGGTAAATATTTGACCAATAACATACTCACTCAGATCAGATATACACAACACACGAAACAACTCCAAAATGTAAAAATGTAACCATTAGTAAAACAACAGTTTATACATCATAGACAATGATGATGATCGTTTTTTCACGCACAGGAATGAATACAACGATTCCTTTCCACAAACAACGCAGCTAGACTATGTTCCTGAAGCTGAAAGACACGCATAACGCCAAGGGCCACATAAAAACAAACTCTTCGCATTTTCCAAACATGCTCATGTTACAATTTTGATGGCGATGTCATTTGATACTGCTCGAAAAACATACAAATAAATGGTTTATTGTTAATACCATTGCAAGATTTAGGTCAACGGTTTGAGCTTTGGGAGTCTAATTAATATTTAATTTAAACTTCAAGAAATGATGTAGCAATCTTTTAAAAATTTAGTATCATGGTACACATTGACTACAGAATTTTTCACTGGAGTAATATTGTGCAAGGATGCAATCTGCATCTGCATCAGACGCAACTCCACAAATTGTTATTCTGTGTCTGATGTGTCTATAAAATGTAACTGTCGCCCAACTTTAATTTCGAAAGAAAAAGCTACGCAGATGAAAACATGGAAGCTTAATATTGGCCATTAAAAATAAAATATACCAATTGGTGACCATGCCAGCTCAAACATTTGCCAAAACTATGTAAATTCAAAACCATTTATTTGTTGTTAGATAAGCAGCACTAACAGTCAAAACTAAACTAAAAACTCAAAAAGTAAATAAAACAACAAACTGGTATTTTATATTCTATAATACAACTTCAACAAATCTATACATGATTGATTAATACTCTGTAAATTTAGGCTGGAAACACACTAAAGTCGCATTAAATAAAATAAATAATAAAATATTTTGTGCCGACGACACATAAATAAAAATTAAATAGATATAATTCATTTTAGACACGAAACATCTCGATAATGGCGCGAGCCACTTTACTGAACTTCCAACCTTACATATTTATTTGAATAATTTTATCATTATCACATTAAATAACGGGATCATTCGCTGTAACAGTTAAAATAAATGTTTCTGGGATGTGGAATGTTATAGTTAACTGCTTTAGTTTAAATTAAAAATTGCACACTGAAAACTGTAGACATGCATTCACTAGGCAACTGACAAAAGAGATGACAGATCAACACCAACAGATTTTTTTTTGCGCCCTTTCAGTAACAATTTTTTTTAAATAACAAGTTGAACATTTTGGCGCCAAGTCAAAATGTGATGTCATAGTTGTCAAGTGAATGCACGTCATTATAATGGATGGATGGTCACACTTATTGTTAGTCTGTAATGTTGGTACACAGCTGGCGTATATACAGGGGCCGTCTGATGCGCAGACAACAATATCATGCAATAAATTAGTTTTAGCGTACCAAGTCTTCTGGGTTGAACATGCCCTGAAATAGCGAAATAAATAATTAGTTTCTTAGTTAAGATATATTTATTACTTACGAACCTAATGAATTACGTCTTAACTTAGCACAATAGGATTCTTTACTATTAATAAGGTTCTAAATACAGTTTTGTGGATTAAACTGGTTGTTGGAGAATGTCGCGAGGGAATACAAATACATCGATTAATATTGCTATCGTGTGCAAGTTTCGATGAAAAAGAGGACAATCAATGTCCAGAAAATCAGTGTTATTTTTTCCGAAAATAGAAATAGTAAAAAGAAACCTTTAGATTCTTATTTAACTACTCCTAGTTACCTCATAATATAACTGTTGAAAAACAAGTATTGCTTCATATTAAAAATGACTAAAATAATTATATTATGATGATTTTTGTCTACCTTGGCACGACGCAGGATGGAGTCCTTGCTAGCATCATAAGGATGATCCTTGGATGGGATCTCAAGTACTGCAGGTACTGGAGCGGAGTGGCTGTCAATCACATGTCGGATCATCTCAGCGATGTTCTGGTTGATCAAGATGATGTCAATGTCATCACGCTTCACAAATCGTCTGAAGCATTCCTCAATCTCGCTCACTGGTGTGTCTGTAACATTTTATTTTTAACAGTATTAGAACATCAATATCTGGATTGTTGCAAATGAGTTTAATTAGAATTTGAAAAATTTGTTCCCTTAAAATTTAAGGAAATATGTACAATTTCATAAAAGAATAAACAAGCTTATCTTAATGAGAACTCATACTATCATCTTAGAATTTGAAACGACCTGACAAAATAATGGTTGCAGCTAAAAGATAGGTGATACAAATATAGTATTTTTAAGTAATTCTGGAGACAGCATCATTTTCCACCAACTGTATTCTTCCATTGCATCTTAAATCTTTCTTGAGATTGTAATAAATACACAAACAAAGACTGCAATGTTGTTTAGATCACTTCATATCATGACTTTGTTTGGGAAAATTGATAAGTTTTGTTTTGATTGATAAAGAATGATTTATTAATATTCAAACTTTTTTTGACCTTAGGTGGTTATAAATCATTTTTTTTATCAAATCAAGATGACATCTAGTACAGTTAGGTAAAATATGCAGATTTTTTCAGAGGGGGGAAAATCTATCAATGTCTTCTTCCGCCTTGGGTTAGGCGAGAGGGAGTGTCACTCTTACTGACTAAAAACCACCCTACTCTTGCTCTTCGAGCCGGAGCCCCGGCAACCCGCTAGGCCTTCCGCGGCTCCGTACGTATCGGGCATCAGCCCTGCTGGGCCCTATCTGTGGTGGTCTGATGGCTCTTTGAGACGCGCTCGGAACGCGACGTGCCGGACGTACTGGTCTGGTTCTGGTCGGGCGGCGAGCTACCCTTGCTCACCGTCCGCAGACCCGCGCTAACTGTGGCCGGAGATCGTCTCGCGATCTTCGACGCCCAGCATCCCAGTCCCCCTCAATCCCCATGGCCTGAACCAGAGCCGGATGCGAGTGGTCGCTGTCACTGATGAAATTTGCAGATGAAGTGATGATTTACCACAACTCAAAAACAGTATGGTATAGTAAGTACATTTAGCATAACATCAATAAAGCTATTCTTCAAATCATTTTTAGATTTCTTTATTAAATATCTCAAATTTTTTTTAATGACTAATTCAAATTGAAATTCAAATTATTTTATTGAATATCATGTGTACAATTTGGTGTTACATGAGGTAAAGTTACTATGGTAATACTGACGGCTACCACCCTAGATGCTGGCCCAGTTAAAAGGATTCTCTAAATGTCCCAAATGCAGAGGAATCTTCTCTGGCATGCTTGTATAAAAAGATATAATGAACATTATGGGAGCTAAAGAAGTATGAAAGATTCATAAGCAAGGCTAGCTAGGTGATTTGTGGTTTGTGGGGTACTAACTGGTTTGACCCTTTATTATTTGTTAGATTAACTTCAAAAGGAAAATATTGTTTTTTTTAAATATCTATTTCATTTGTTTTACTATTGTAAGAGTAATTTATGAAACCCATGATGAAATATGGCTGAATTAAAAAAATATATAGTTAAAGCTATTAGAGTTCATAATATTTTTCTAAGATGATTCTACTTAGAATATACATTTCTTTTTATCTGACAGTAAGAAAAACGAATGAGACTTACTTTTGTCAACAACCATGAAGTTGGGGTGTCTGTTTTTGTTGATTTCACCAATCCCGCCCAGCAGGAAACCGACGCAAGTATCCTGGAATTAAATATTTCACGATTCTTTACAAATATTCGCAATAATTGCTGGAAAACTCGAAGAGTTTCAGGACATAGGGCCTGTCAGATGAATACCTTAGTTAGATCATAGAATACAAATTTCTCACCTCATCGCCGATGACGCTGATCAATTTACCCTTAACTGCCATGCTCAGTGCCATGTTTAATGTTTTTCTTGGTTTTTATTATATTTATGAGAAATAATGAACTGTCACAAGGGCTCGTCACCTGACTTGAATAGATTTTTACCCGCGTTTGGTTGGTACTCCTGGAATCAAGTTGTCAAAAAACAGAATAGTTTCCATGTAAAAAAAGTAAATGAGATGATATTCTAGTTAGTTTAACCGATATCCGTTCGGAAATTAAGAAGACTTCTATTTTAACCTTTTTTGCAAACATAATAAAACAAATGTTTTCAGTTGTATGTACCTTCCAGTAAGTTGAGTAAAATTAGCTTTACTTATTTTATTCTAGCTCCTCAATATAATTTAATTGTTATTTCTAAACGAATTATTTGCTGTTACCATGACACGACATTGGACTCCCGTTCCTTACGCACGAAAGTTGTAATTATTAGCATATAAATCACTTGTCTCTATCCCACTAAGAGTAAATTGGAAAGCACACATCTTCTGTCACTGTCTCTCATGACAGCAGTTTTAGAGACGTGAACGGGACGCTTCGTTGTAATTTTATAATTACACGAAAACACATTGTTTTTGTTATGAACGAAATATTTTATAAGCATTTGGTATATTAGTTAATTAGACGTTGAAAAAAATGTTAAATATACAAAACTACGGTAGCAGTTCAGAGGAAGAAGAGGATAATGAGGCGGAAACTATTAAAGGAGAGAGCAACGAAAAGTTATTATCACACTTGAAACCAGTTGATTCTAACTTTTCCGTGGCTAAATCGATGCAAGTATGTGCAGCGCCCGTCGTAATGCCCACGGTACGTTATGAATATCATTAATTACTATTGTGTTAATTTGTAATAAGCTCAAAACAACAAATTCTTATCCATGACTCAAACTGTCAAGAAGTTATGGTTATCTCTTAGAACTGTGTTAAAACGATCTGTGTTTACTTGATCTAATATTATTCCTATTAAAATTCTTCATTACACTGTTCCTATGATCACAATTAACATCATCAGATTTTATATTAAAACTATCTTTGACCAAACACCTATATCTTGCTTTCTTTTTACAGAACAGCGACGACACAAGAGTTTTGTTACCAAATAATCAAGAATTAATGCACAATCCTAAGTATGAAGAACTATTTGCTCCTACATACGGTCCAGAGAATCCGTTTCAAACTCAACAGATGAAAGCAAATAGGAACATCTTGTCGGGTTACGTAGAGAAGGCACATATAAGTGACTTTCAGTTTGAGAATCAAAGGCGAACATTTACTAGTTACGGACATGCTGTAGACCCATCTACAGATAGTGAAGCAGCTGGCGATGCTGTAGTTGGTAAGTAATTTTATATTATGGATATAAAAAATTGATTATAAGATGGGGTTTGTGTTACTCAATCATCATATTAACATGTCTGAAAGAAGGTAGATGAAAGCATAGGTAGGTGGTCTGAAAGAGGTTTGGATCATTATTATTTTTTTAAATTTTTGTATACAATGCCAGTGGCACAAAAAGCACACATTATTGGTCATACAAATGAACTGCTACTGCAGTTGTGTGCAATTTATTGTAATGAAACATGAATTACAATTAATAACAATTACATTTTACATATAAATCTTATACTATTATATAAAGCAGAAGAGTTTGTTTATTTGTTTGTTTGTTTGAACGCGCTAATCTCCGTAACTACAAGTCTGATTTGAATAATTCTTTTTGTGTTGGATAGCGCATTTATCGAGGATGGCTATAGGCTATAAAACATCATGCTGCAACCAATAGGAGCTGAGCAGAGCGTGTAAAATCGCGCGGAAGTAGCTAGTTCTTTTATAAAATCAACTCGAATCTTAGAACAGATAAATATAAAAACCTGTTAAATTTACATTTTCTTATTAAAATTTAGTGTCAGCAATGATAGCACCGCCAGAAGAGGCAATCGGCAAATCGGTGTTTGAAACCATAAAGAAGAGGCCGCTTGACAAGAAGAAGAGGACCAAGAATGACAATCCTGAGGATATCAGTGGATTCCTCGGGCCATGGGGAGGTTATGAGGGGGAACAGAGGTGATTAACAACATTCTAATATTATTTATTTATTTATTTATTTTTGTACACACATACAACATAAAGGACAACACATTACATAAAACTGAAGTACAAAGGTACCACCTATTCCTATAAGAATTTCTTCCTGTGGACCTGGAGCAGGAAAAGTAGGAAACAGCCTGTATATTACAATTTTTTAAGTTGACGAGGACCGGTTACATATTGAGAACTAATAGAAGACATAATGCCAATGTAGCATATTGTGGGGTAGACTGCAAAAGTTTAACATTGGCTAGTGCCGTGTGTGTCGGTATCGGTTTCTTTGAGTACTTTGTTTCTTTGCAATTTTAATGAGTATGTTTATGCTTTGCTCATGGATGTTTACTGTTACTCGTAAAATATGTAATGTATCTAAAATCTTTGTCACTTATTATATTAGCATAATTGTCACACTGAATAGGTTTATATATTATATATTATTATATTATTTATAACATAAAACTGCGAATGTGAGTACCAATACAAACCAGCTGTGGTTTAATGGTGCAAAAAAAATTTTAAACTGTACTGAAATGTAATAATAAAATAATAATAATAATATAATGACACAGTGTGTAGTAACAATTAGAAAATTGGGATAGGAAACAGACTTAAAACTAGACAGATAAATAACCAAACAACTACATACAATATATAAATAAATACATACAAAATATAAACTATACATATAAATGAAGAAATTTTCATATATTAGTAATACTAGCAGAAGCTAGCAGCTTAATTCACATTCCCATGAAATGAAAAATTGCCTATGTGTCATTCCAGACTATTATCTAGCCCTGTTGCAAATTTCATTCTGATCCCTTCAGCGGTTTTGACGGAATTCAGTAACAAACATACACACAAACCTTCGCATTTATAATATAATATTATTAAGATTATTTAAATACAATAGTAATACTCAAATTAAATAATATATCATCATCAGTGAATAGAGAAAAAAGAAAAAAAGTTTTTTCTAACAGAGTATTATGCTCACATAACATCACGCCTTTTATCCCCGATGGGGTAGACAAAAATGCACATTAAGGCACTTAGTGCCACTGTACAATGTAATACCCAATTTTCACTATTTATGTTATGAGTCCCATGTAATAGGGGATGAGCCTGATGCCATACACTGGCCACAATTCCAGACTCCGTGCTACTATTGACAATTTTTTTACAAACCCAGTAATACTTTGCTTGACACATGCAGTGGTGCTTTGTATTATATAGTATTCATTTGTATTATACTACTACTAAATTGTTAATATTATATTACATTTGTTTATGTTGCAGAGTAATGAGGCCAGAAGGTGATGAAGCTAAGGAATTGCAAGAGATTGTCGCTAAACGACAGAAGAAAGGCAAAGTGGATGAAGACAAACCATTGGAAGAGAAATCTATATTCCATAGTGAGTACAATACTTATTCTTTTTAATTAAACCAATAATTAAGACCATTAAAAATATTTTATTTTTTTAAAGGAACTTATTGTCTATTGTCTGTTGTACAAATGTTGAGACTGGCTTAAAACAAAGCTTGTTCTTTAAAAGATGAATTTTTTTTTGGTTGTAAGGTAATACGGCCTAATAAGGCCCACCTTATTTCATACCTTGTAGTCTTGTAGATAAATAAAGTAGAGAAGAAACATATTGGAGGTTGTAATGTATTTATTTGACAATCAAGATATCGAAAAAAGTAATCATAACTGCATATTTTTTAAGTGGCCTGTCTCAAGAAGCGGGCCATCTTTGGCGAACATACCTTATATTAATTGGTTGAACAAGAAAACATAAACAAGATACACATATTTTAACACACACATCTGTTTATTCCAGTCGACAATGCGACAGACTACCAGGGCAGGTCGTGGATCGCGCCGCCGCGGAGTGAGACACAACTGCGAAGTGATACACCGCCCGACAAGTGCTTCCTCCCTAAGGTATGTGTTCTTTTTATAAATGAAAATCACTACATAGGGTGTAAACAGTGAGCCGCGGAGAACTTCACGGGTTACCGGGGCTCCGGCTCGAAGTGCAGGAGTAGGAACGGGGTGGTTTTTAGTCAGTAAGAGTCTGACACTCCCTCTCGCCTCACCCAGGCGGGAGCAGTCATTCGATGATTTTCCCCTCTTAAAAAAAGGGTGTAAACGGAACGCTTCTAAATTAACTATTAACATGATAAAATCCCCGTAATAGCAATCACAAATTATATAAAGTTCAAAGGGTTGTATTTTGGATCCACCAATAAAAGAACAAATAAAGGTACAGTAAAAATATATTGTTGTTATTTATTGTTTTATTTGACTGGTGATGAAGCAAAAGACGTATGTAAGATTTGTAGCAATTGACGTTCCATAGTCTCTGCCTACCCCCGTGGGAGACAGGCGTGAGGCTATGTACCTATGTATGTTTGTTATTTAATATGGTATTGTTGTGTCCAGGCACATATCTTCACATGGAAGGGCCACACGAAGGGAGTGGCGGCGGTGCGATGGTTCCCCGGCACTGCGCATCTCATGCTATCTGCTGGCATGGACTGTAGGGTCAAGGTAAATACATATAGAAATATATATAATTCTACTATACGTGTATATGTCATTGAACTCCTCCTAAACGGCTTGACCGATTTAAATGATTTTTTCTGTATGCGTTTGATTGGCACCCTGAATGGTTTAGATTCACAAATCAGCCCGGCAGATGGCGCTGCAGTCATCATATGTAGGACAACGTCTGTCGGGTCAGCTAGTAGAAATATAAAAAAACTAAACTTAAGTACATATAATGTAATGACTAAAATACAGGGTTGTTTTGAAATAAATATCACTATCACTACATAGTATTAAACAAAGTCGCTACCCGCCGTCTGTCTGTCCCTATGTATGCTTAGATCTTAAAAACTACGCAACGGATTTTGATGCGGTTTTTATTTTAATAGATAGAGGAAGGATAATAGATGGAGGATTCTTATGGAAGGTTTATATGTATATTACATGCATATCGCATCCGCGCGAAGTCGGGGCGGGTCGCTAGTTTATTATATAAAAAATATTTTACCGATGAACTGATTTCACTGTTAAATGATGTTTTCAAGTCCTAGTAGGGACTTGTGGGTTTTTATCATGGGCTGAATCCTATTTCTACTTTCTTAAGTACATATACCTATTAATACTTACCTACATAATAGGGTAGTTTCCTAAATTTTAATTTAATATCCGTCTGGTACATTACTTTAAAACTTTAGACACGTATTTTTTCTTTTCTCACAAAATTAAATACTTTCCACGATATATTAATTTGAAATATCGCGTGACGTCACAGCGTGTTACATTTTGTAGCACGTTATAACGTGACGACCTCCCACTCCTAAACTTAGCGCCATTTTATTTAAGTATTGCAACTTAATACGAGAAAATAAAAAAAATACGTGTGTAATATTTTTTCATTATCTAACTGACGGACTAATTAGATTTTTAATTTTGATACCCTGGAAACTACCCAATTGTTTGTATTTAAAACGGAAAGTGAAGCCATGAAGAATGGAATCAAGAATCATAAAACTAATTCATTATTACTTTGTGTTTTGTACAGATTTGGGAAGTGTACGGCGAACGTCGTTGTATACGAACTTACTTCGGACACAGACAAGCTGTTAGAGACGTCAACTTTAATAATACTGGGGATAAATTCTTATCTGCAGGTTTGTATTTCATGACATAACATAACATCACGCCTTTTATCCCCGAAAGGGTAGGCAGAAGTGCACATTACACAGTTCAATGTAACACCTACTTTTCACTGTTCATGTTATGAGTAATAGGGGGTGAGCCTATTCCCATATACCGGGCACATTTCCAGACTCCGTGCTACTACTGAGAATAAAAAAAAGAACCCAGTTTTACTTTGCCCGACCCGGGAATCGAACTCGAGACCCTTTGCCCGGTAGTCGCACTTGCGACCACTCGGCCAACGAGGCAGTCAATTGTTATATTTCATACTCATTTAATTTCCAATATTTTTTTATATAGGTAACGTCTTTGCCAACAAGTAGACTAATCACCTGATTTTAAGCAGTACCTTGCATTGCTGGCTCTTTGGGAGGGGAGTGGTAGGGATTTGAAGATCGGGGGCTTAGAGTTTGGGAATGAAAGAAGGGAGACTTCCGGTAACTTGATTCACTCATTCAAACACTAGGCAAACGTTGTTTTACGCTGGTTTTCTTTAAGGCTTTGGTATAACTCCGATCGGTTCATAATAATAAATTATCTCATTAAATTTCTTTTTTTTTTATTTCATCTGACTTGTAACCATTCTGTTTCAGCTTACGACCGCTACATAAAGCTCTGGGATACGGAGACTGGCGAGTGTATATCGCGGTTCACTTCCCGGAAGGTGACATACTGTGCGAAGTTCAACCCAGATGAAGACAAACAACACCTCTTTGTAGCCGGTACTTCTGACAAGAAGATTATATGTGTAAGTATCTGTGTTTTTTTGCTGTGTTTAAAAACGGTTCATCTTAGGGTCGATTTTTCAATCAACAGATAATTCTTAACTGTAGAATAAAATTGAAATTTGTCAGTTTTTAGTAATGACAGAATTTTTATAATAATTATCGTGAGACATACTAAATCAACTAAAATCGCGGGTTACTCACGTGAATATACTGAGAAAAGCTCTACTAGTTTCGAACCACAGAGGGGTTCTTCCTCATGAGCAGCGTGCGCGGTCGCGATGACAGAATTGTCAAATATTAAGGACCGATTATTCAGAGGATTAGCTTTTTAAGCCAAGAATATATTAGGGGACAAATGTTCCACGACGTGTCATGCAAAGCCTGCCGATTTCGTTCGACATATTATTAGGCGACAACGCGTGCCTTATGTCCACAGCGACGTCGATGTTGACAGACGTGTCGACTAAAGTCTGCCAACGTCCCGCTACTTCACCCAACATCGCTGGCGAAGACAAAATTAAAACATTTATTTTGACTTCGACATTTAATCCTTAATTCGCGAAGTCTGTCAGTGAAGCTAGGCGCTCGTTCCAAAGTGTAGTTTCGAATGGAGAAAAACGAGCCAGAAACTCCATCGTTACTCTTTTAAAAAAACTGTTTTTTACAGTCTCATTGATACATTATTTGATCCTTAGACAAATGTTTGTCCCCTAATGTATTCTTGGCTTAATCTAACAACGCCATTCATTTTAATCCATGTAGCAATACGCAGTGGAGGACGTTTACAATATTTATAACACCGTCGTAGGGCAAAATAATATTCTGTCTCTTAAGTTTTTAAAAATTCTCAGCACTAAGGGGGCTGGTTACGATAATCCCTATGACATGAGATTTATAACATAACTAGTGAAGAAAGATAGGTGCTACTTACACCTTATATCCTCCTCGTTTACCTCCATTAACTTTTACACCTCTGCCTAATTCCTTTCAGGAATAGAGATCTACTAATGATAATGTTACTAATCATAATTATTTATTACTTACCATCACCCGTCTGCTCATTTACCGGCTTATTCCATTAAAAAGAAAAGTTTTCGATAAAGTTAAAAAGCTTTTTTGTTCTTTTTTAATTTTGTATTATTCTTGTATCTGTGTGCGTGCTACTGTCGAATAAATGTTTTTTTTCTTTCTTTCTTCTTTAATTGTATGTCTCTCTTGCAGTGGGACATCCGTAGCGGTGAGATAGTTCAAGAGTACGACCGGCACCTGGGCGCCGTCAACACGATCACGTTCGTGGACGACAACAGACGGTTCGTCACCACGTCTGACGACAAGAGTCTGCGCGTCTGGGAGTGGTGAGTTACATCTTCCATCTATTATCTATACATATAACTAGCTGACCCAACAGACGTTGTCCTGCATATCCACTTGAATGTATAAACAAAAATTTTTTCAAATTAGTTCAGCTGTTAAGGGTACATAACCTAAACATCGACTGCAGCGCCATCTGCCGGGCTGATTTGTGAATCTAAACCATTCTCAGATCTCCTTGAACACACACAAAAAATTCCATCAAAATCGGTCCAGTCGTTTAAGAGAAGTTCAGTAACATACACACTCACAGAAGAATTATTTATACAAAATAAAAATGAATTTCCGTTCGTAAGTCTCGCTAAAACTCGAGAACGACTGAACCGATTTGGTTGACTTTGGTCTTGAAGTGTTCGTCGCAGTCCAGGGAAGGTGTAAATATTTTCTAGGCACTACTAAGTTTTCCGCGTCATCTTGTTCATATAAAAGTCAAAGACCGTGTACTAGAACCTACGATACTTAACCAAATACGTCCATTCTATGATTCTATCATTAAAATTCGACTTTTTCTTTAGTATAAAGTATTTTAACCCGTCGTGTGTCTAAACGTGGATCCACGCGAGACACAATTGTTTTTCTATTGTGTCTAACATCTTTTTTTTCCTTTATTTTTTTAAAAAACAAAAACCCACGCTAGGATTTTCTCCCGTGTCGTGTGTGCGTTTACAAACATACAATTTCACATACACATTACACCCAGACCCGGAACAACAATCTATGGATCAAACAAACAGTTGTTCCGTGCGGGAATCGAACCCGCGACATGTTGCGCGGCAGCCGGTTGCCCAACCACCGCGACAACTGTGCATTCAAGCGGTTAAAGTTGAGAAGAAAAAGAGAGAAAAGAAAGAGAGAAAGAAAAAGAGAATACATCTAAGTACCCATTTATTATAAAGTACAATTTATTTTTCGACGTTTCCTATTACATAGTAACATTTCAAAGTTAAGATACCATTTTACGTCCCGTCATGATTACTATCTAAACGAAAAACACGTGATTTTAATCTGATGTTCAACTCAACAATGTTTATAAATAGTATTTTGTACTGTCACAGTGATAGTAGCGAAACTTTTGCTTAGTCACGCTGTGTGCTGTTTATTGTTATTGTATGTAAATACGCTTATTTCTACCTATAGTATTAATCAGGGCTGTCCAATCTATTATATACCCTTGCGGGCTAATTAAATTTATTATTGTTGTTGCATGTAAGATGAAGATGTTGAGATTAAAATGTGTGTCGTGAGCCACGGGCCGCCTGCTGCCCACATGCCTTTGTTTGACAGCCCTGGTATAAATGTAGGCAGATTCTAAAATTACTAGTTACTTATTTTGTAATAGTGCTGCGTTCACAAGTATGTTTGTAAAAGCACTTACGGCACAGGAGAAGCCGCTTAGTATGGATCAAGGTTTCGAAAGAAAAAGATTCAAACATTGCTTTTAAATGCTATTGTTGTAAAATAAAGTTATAGTTTTAAGTGTGTAACTAATGTCGCGGAGAACCTAACGGGTAACCGGGGCTCCGGCTCGACGTGTAGGAGAAGTAACGGGGTGGTTTTTAGTCAGTAAGAGTCTGATACTCCCTCCCGCCTCACCCAGGCGGGAGCAATCATACAATGATTTCCCCCCTTAAAAAAAAGTATGTCACTAATAGAATCAGTGGGTTGCTAACATAGGTAGTTTACTTTTACACAAAAAATGAGAACAAATAAAAAAGTAGGTAATCCTACTAAAACTATTTGAAACCAGAGGTTGTTGAGGGTAGAAGAAAAAGTTACTTCCAATGTAGGCATGCAGCATTATAACTAAATCAGTATTATTTTAGTTTGCAACGTACCTACTTAATTATTTAGTTTTGGAATTATTTATAGATGCTTATTGTGCAGTAGTGTACTTATTTAAAAAACTAAAAGTGTAGTTACCTAAACAATATTTACTGTACAGTGCTATATTTCAGTTCTAGTGTATTTTCTTAGTCGTCATTTTCAATTTATTAGTAGTCTGAAATACTATAGACTAAAAATGTCTGATTCAAGTGCCTTCTCATCGCTTTATGATTTAGTCAATGATCATCTATCTAAATGCAGTTTAAAAATGACTAGCGAAGATCATTCGTCATCAATGTTTAAACTACCTCAGTGTTTAAATGAGACAAGAAAGGAGGTTGAGCAAAAAGAGGTTGAAAAATGTAAGAAGATAAGACCTTTAGAAATTGAAGAGGATAACTATGTGATAGATTTGAGGAAGGCAGTGGAGGCACCAAAGAGCCAAATCATTAGAGATTTCAACAACAATGAAGTTTTCATAGAAACAGATTTCAATAACAATTATATATCAAATCCTATTGATATTGAGCCGCAAAAAGAACAATTATTACCAATAAAAACAGATATTTCTTACATTTTAAAACAAAAAGTCAAGAAAGGAAAGTGTTCGCCATTTGGCAAAGTGTTGATTTCGCGCCAAAAGCCAGTGGCGGCGCCATATTTGAAAGAAAAAGTTGAAACTAAGATTGTGTCGTTTGATTTTAGTACAAAGTCTCCTTGTGATTTGATTTTGGAACGCTCGCAATGGAAACCAGTACATACTGTCTAATCTGAAAGTCCAATTTTAATTTTGTCCCAGTATTTGAGGATGCTTATTAAGATTTAAGAAATCATGCATGGTAGGTGGTGTCTTACGATAGGATAGCACATAACTTAAGTTAATAATTAGGTAGATATTTTTATTTAACTGTAATGAAGTCTATACAAAACAGACTTTAGTTACAAGCAACAGCAGTTAAATTCAAAAATAAATGTAGGTAATCTAAAAGCCATCGAAATAGGGATGTCCAGTCTATAGGCGACACTTATCCGCGCGGTTTCACCCGATCTGCTCTGCTCCTACTGGTCGATGCGTGATATTTTTATAGACTTCCTCGATAAATGCACTATCAAACACAAAAATAATTTAACTTTAATGTCTAGCGACTCGACCCCGCAGTCAAACCATTGCAACGGTTTATATTTGAAATACTTACCTTTGTGATATAAAGATAAATAAATAAATAATAAATAATTATTGAAATCAGTCCAGTAGTTCCGGAGAATAGTGCGTTCAAACAAACTAACCAATTGTTCAGCTTTATACTATATTATTATATTATAAGATTATGTTGCACTTACTAATTATATTTATTTTAATTTTCCCCAGGGACATACCAGTAGACATGAAATACATAGCAGATCCGTCAATGCATTCATTGCCGGCCGTGACCGTGTCTCCAAACGGCAAGTGGCTAGCCTGCCAGTCAATGGATAACAAAGTGATCGTATTCAGCGCACTCAACAGATTTAAGATGAACAGGAAAAAGACGTTTAGCGGCCATATGGTGGCCGGGTATGCGTGTTCTGTGGACTTCTCGCCTGATATGAGGTAAGGATTATTTACTTTTATTATTATTTATCGATTTTTTTACTGGTGTACCTACCATATTCATATAGGTAACATAACATAACATCAGGTTTTTTATCACCGAAGGGGTAGGCGGAGGTGCACATTACGGCACTTAATGCCACTTAATTTCTTAATGTAATACCCACTTGTACTATTTATGATATGAGTCCCATGTGATAGGGGGTGAGCCTATATACCGGGCACATTTCCAGACTCCGTGCTACTACTGAGGTTTTTACAAACCCAATAATACTTTGCCCGACCCGGTAATCGAACCCGAGATCTCTTGTCCGGCCGTTGCACTTGCGACCACTCGACCAATGAGGCAGGTATAGGTATTGGTCGTTAAGTCTTTAATCGGCGTTTTATCCATCTCTATAACTAACATCTGTATGATGCGTGCTAATACACAGACAAACGACGTACAAAATAAGCAGATTACATTAGTATTCCTTACCATCTGCTAATTAACCATTTAAATAAATTTTAAATTTACCATTCAAATATTAAAGAAGAGCCAAATTTAAAGTACCCTTAATCGACGAGCATGCATGAAAAGATTGATGACTGTTAATGAAGCGAAAGAGGTATGGAGGAATCGTAGGTAATTGGCGTTACTTAGTCTCTGCTTACCCCCATGGGAGACAGGCCTGAAGTTATGTATGTATGTATGCTAATTTGCCCCCTATCCTATAAAAGCGTTGCGCATATTATAAGTACTTGAATAAGGTATATAGTACCTATATCAGTTCATAAATTCAAGTGACTCAATACCCTATGACAAGAATGAATTATTTTCTTCATGGATGTGTTGTCTTATGTCTAGAAGTCGTATATATTATATTTTACCTGCCTACGTAAGATTACACGACCAGACAGCTGTGTTTTGCAGAAGTATTTTTATCGTAAAATAACTGAATTGATCAAATATTATCCAAAAGTAAATGTTTACTCAATTGCTAGATTTGGAACTAAATAAATACATACCACTCTCATTCATTATGATTAATACACATAATACATAACATAAGGTACGTCTTAATCAGTACGTAAAGACTACAACCAATTCCTTACATAAGAAGGTAGGTATAAATTTATACTTCTAAGGTTTATCACCTTATTTTATGGAATGGTTACAATTTTTTGCAATCTATCTATCTAATTTTAGATACTGAGGTCCAAGTCCAATCTCCCTATAGCTCACACAGAAATATTCTTTGATTATATGTATGGCTGTACACTTGTAACACTTCTGGTGTTACTGGTGTTTAGGTGACACTGATTGACTGCTTACCATGTGGCAACTCGTTGCCTTCCTATCATATTTATTTATTTACACAATTTCATTAAATATAAATAATAAAATATTTATTTACACAATTTCATTAAATAATGCCATATGTCTGTGTTTTTTAGTTTGTAATTTAGTGAGACTGTTGAGAATTTCTTATTTAAACTCCCAAATATTGTCCATAGTATCATGATATGATACTATTGACCACTTCATGATTTGTAGTACACTATTTCATTATCGACTGTCTACTGGTCCCTATTGTTTATTTGCCTATTGGTTAGAACACGTAGGCACCTACTAACATTGAATTTAATTACGCCATTGAAATAAACAAGAATTCATTTAAATTAATAATTAATTTATTCAAATTAGTTTTTTTAAATCAGCATTTTTAAGGCGCAATTTAAAGATATAAATAATAACTTTTTTTAAACTTTAAAAGTAATGTACCTTTAAAAATATTCTTCAAGATTTTTCTTACTAAATAACTGACAGAGGTTGTTTGACCATTGATCTTACTAATTTGATGATTTTAGACTTTCGTATTAATGACAAAAATTTTGACTTCATTTTATGTTTATATTTCTTTTCTCTTACCTTAGTTTTAAATCAACATTACTTCTTATAAACTCTCAAGGGCTTGCTACCAAAATGTTTTTTTTATGGCATAAGCCGGTTAACGAGCAGACGGATCACCTGATGGTAAGCAATCGGCGTCGCCCATGGACACTTGGATCACCAGAGGCGTTACAAGAGCGTTACCGGCCTTTTGGGTATTAGGAGTTTGAGGATTGTTGGGAATTCAGGAATTGGGGAGATTGGGGAAGGGGAGAATAGTGGGGGCTTGGAATAGTGATAACCACGCATACCTCGTAGGTGATAGCGTGATAATATGTAGCCTATATGTTGGCCCGACCCGTTAGTAATAATCATATAAAATTTGAAGTAAATCCATGTAGTACTTTTTGAGATCATCCCGGGCATACATACAGACAAACAGACAAAAATTTTAAAAACCATATTTTTGGCTTCAGTATCGACTGTAGATCACGCTCCAGGTATTCTTTTAAAAAAAATATACAGTTTTGACTTTACTACTATTTTATTATAATTATGTATAGATTAACGTTTTTCATACAGTAATTTTATATGCCCGCTATGTACCTATGTATATCGCACGTTACGATCAGTCTTCCGTCACGAAAATCTCAGCCATCCCACTTACAAAGTCATTAAGTAGTTCATTGCCAATCAGCTGATTGATTCTATTTCCTCCTATCTCTAGCCACGACAGTTACATGTGTTATGTATTACTGTCTCATTATGTAACGTAGGTATATAAATAGCTCGTTCTAAAGATGCGTTGGATTGCAACGGTCATAGTGTTGTACGAAATATGTCGTATGACGGTCGTCTGTGTGACGCGGTGATCATGTGATTGTTTTTGAGGTGTGGCTCTAGTGAGAGAGGGTACCTAAATGGTGGACTGGCAAAAATGTTGGAAGGTTTTTTTTGGTGTATAGTTTTCTAAATCACAAATGTGTTCAAAGATAGGTATAGAAGCTTCCTTGTCAGCATATTTGCCTGCGATACAAGATTGTCCTAGTGCAGGCTATTTAACTTTATAAGATCAATTTTACTTACTTAAGACATATTTTGTATTTTGCATTTTTGAATTATGAATACATTTTATTTATTATTATTATATTTTAAGTCTGATCTTTAAACATAAATCAGCTAATGTGTGATAAAATTAATGTTGTTTCTAAATTAACAACCATTTGTTCTAAGTTTACAGACTTTATTTGCGATTACAATTTTATTTGTGTAATAAAAGTCAGACATTTTATTTTTATGTCTTTAAATTACTTTCTTTGTACCGCGGTTTATGTTAGTAACATTTATCAGAAAGTTTTTATTTATGCTATTTTAGAAACTGATAGCGACGTTGTTAAAGACTACATGTATATAATCTTTTTGGTTTGATATGGATTCAAAATTGTAAATCTGAATGAAAATCTGATGTAAAATCGTCCTTAATTGCCAATCCGCATTCACTGAGACTGCAACCCATTCGTACGGGTATTTAGCCTTGTATGTTCTCATATGAGTGGTTCACGCAACTTTCTCCCTACGACCTCGCTCAATGGAGCCGAACTCACGTATACCATAACAAATACACCCAGAAGATCTAGGCTTCGTAAGGTAAACACATAACAAGAAAAAAAAGCATATATACGGTCGAATTGAGAACCTCCTCCTTTTTTGAAGTCGGTTAATAAGGCGTGTTACGTACATTTTTTTTAATCCGCCTGCCAAGCTTTTTTACTGTCCTTTAAGGTTTTTTTTTTCGATCTCTTTGACTGGATTTTAGTGTAACATTGGTCTCGCACAGTCCAAACAACAAAACTATGTAACTAGCTAGAGAATTGTACTGTGAACCTAATTGAAAAAGAGTAATCTATGGAGTTTCTTGCTCGTTCTTCTCCATAGGAATCTACATATGAGCAAATAGCTTCACTTTAAATTTTTTGTTAACGTTCAAATGTGCCTATCTGGTCTAATTGAAATAAATTGACTTTGGGGATGTTTTTATTTAAAAACGTTGCCCCACACTATGATTTTGTCCTGTGTCGTGGGTGCGTTTACCAACATACAAGTTCATATACACATGACACCCAGACCCGGAACAACAACAGATGGATCACACAAAGAGTTGCTTCGTACGGGAATCGAACTCGTTACACTTTGCGTGGCAGTCAGTTGCCCAGCCACCGCACCAACCGTACAGTCGATCGATTGCAAACCTCCCTTTTGTAGATAGTCATCAGTTCTATAGTTCAGCAGCGTACTATAATGGGTCCATGTTGAGATGGTAAATATTATACAAGTTTTTTGACAGTTGGGTTCTAAATTATATCATCGCTTCTATGGTCTACATCGGCTACTTCTTGTGGCTGATAAATGATGATGACGATGATGGTCCAGTTTAATAACGATTGCTGTCCTTACACGCGATCCTTGTTCGATTACATTGGACAATATATTTAATATGTTATTATGTGCAATGGTATGCATTCATAGATGCGTCAATTCGGTTGCAGTTGCAGTATTAACGACCTATTGTTTGTTTCTATAGGTATGATGTACTATATTATGTACGTAGTCTTCTATAATTGTTTTCTGAAAGGGTAGGCAGAGATATCCCACTGTATCTTCTCCATTACTAACTGCCTCGTTGCCCGAGTGGTCGCAAGTGAGGCTACCGGGCGATTCCCGGGTCGGGCAAAGTATTACTAGGTTTTAAAAAAATCTCAGTAGTAGCACGGAGTCTGGAATTGTGCCCGGTATATGGCAATAAGCTCACCCCCTATTACATGGGCCTCGTAACTTAAATAGTGAAATGTGGGTGCCTCGGCCTACCCGTTTGGGGATAAAAGACGTGCTTTTATGATGTTATGTTCTTCTCAATTATCAGTTCAATATGTCATAGTCATAAGTAATGGAAGGTAATACAGTTTAATATGTTTTCATGAAAATATCTATAAGTAGGTAATACAAATAAACATTTGATGTTTATTTTGTTTGGAATGAAGCAAACAAAATCGAAGTGTAAAGTCTGCAATATATTCTTATATTGCGTAGTAACGAGGCATTGGCAGTATGCCCAGGGAACCGTAATTTA